CCAAGACAGGGCTTCTCTTGGCTTCCTGATTAGGCAGCATCTTCTGTCAGTGCTTATGTGAGTATGAAGACACTGCTGACTCCATGGCCATGTCACCAGGTCTACACCATCCCCTCCAGCAGGCTGGGCTCTCAGAGCATACGGAGGCTGCCCTGCTCACGTTGGTCTTTCCACCCAGGAATAGCACATGGATGCTGGGGCTCAGAAGCTTTAGGGGCAATAAGCTGGACAGGATTCTTTGTGAGTCCGCTGGGAGCCCAGCTCTGTGGTTTTTCTCTGTGAAGTAGAGCACAACTTCCCTGCAGGGAGACTTCTGGGCTTGCCACTCCTGGGCCAGGGAGCTCCTGTTACAGTTATGCCTTGGGCTCCATACCACTCTGAAATGCAAGGGCAAGGACTTCATCCAATGCTGCTTCCTGACCAGCTTATCCTAGTGTTACTTTTGAAAAATGTTTTCTTCTTGTTTTTTAAAAAAATCAGGCATTAGTTGGTTTAGAGATGGCCCCCCAAATCCCTTCCCTCTCAGTGAGCTCATGCTCTTCCTCCCATCAAGAGGTGGAAATGATGCTATGGCAGTTCTGCATGTAGACCCTAAGACGCCTGGAAGTTTCACTGTCTTTCTCTCTGGAAACCAAGCTGCCATGTTTTGTAAGATTTGCAGTGTCTAATGAATGATGAGTGGGCATGGGAGGAAAGAGCAGCTACAAAGGAAGAGCAACAAGGCACTAATCTTGTGAATAAAGCTTCCCTTGGATCTTCCAGCTTCTAGTCCCCTAACAAGTGCAGCCAGGCAGCTCTTGGTCCATGCTGTGTAGAGCAGAAGAACTGCCTAGCCAAGCCTTGCCTGCTTCCTGTCCCACAGAATCATGAGAAGTAATAAGTAGCTATTATTTCAAGCCACTGTGTTTTGTTATGTAGTGGCAGACATCTGAAACATTCCAAATAAAGCTTGGGAAAATCTGACTGTTGAATGTTTGATTGAGCACCTACTATTTCTTAGGTCTATGTTAGGTGCTATGACTATGGAGAGAAGCAAGAAAAAATCCCTGATTCAAGAGCTCATAATAAAAACTCAAAGAGGAAACTATAACAGAGTGATTTGCAGAATGAATGAGAAACAGGAAAAGTGTAGGGGACTGTCGAGGACTAGGTGGGAGGAGAATCCTATCCCACAAAGGCAGGATTGAAGACTGACATCTCCCTCAGTGCCATCATCAGCAACAACTACTGGGGGCAGTTTGTGGCATTTCTCTCTAGTGTTTTGTCAGTGGATTGATTTGCCATGGATGTAATGACAATTCTGGTTATAAATGATATTGAAGACTCACTGCGTGCTGGGAGCCAGTCCATTGCTTCCCTTGAAACCACTCAGAGAGAAAGCTACTGCTGCGGTGCCCATTGTGTAGTTGAGGAAGCTGAGGCTTACAGAACTGAAGATCAGGCAGCCAATGAGCACAGAGGCAGGACTCCTACCCCAGAGCCTGTGCCTGCAGCCAGACTGCTCACCTGCTTTTTAACTTCCCATTATAAATCAAGCATATCCTTATGGTATTAAAAATAATGTCTGAAACAGCATATTACTCACTGTATGATATGTTACTTTAAAGTCTCCTACAATTGAACACTTCAGATTATTTCCAATATGCTGAGAGCCCCTTTCCACATAAAGGGTTAGTTTTGTGTTTGTTTATGGCCTCATATTCTTCTATCATTTTAAAAAAATGGTTGAAGCAAATGTATAAGAAGCCTTCTCAATATCAGATCATTTTCTTAGGATGAATTCACAGAAAGGTAAATAACAAATATTTTTAATTTTAGGGTCTTCCACAAGAAATTTCTGGAAGCAAAAGGCAATCAATCTTGGTGGGTGACGAAGTCACACTCATCCATATTTACAGCAATTATCCCCACATTTCAGAGTTTCTCCGGAAGCACAGAGAGGCACTTCTGTAGAGGACCCAGCCAGTTATAATGAAACTGCCATGAATGTCTTCTCAAAACTTGAAGTGAACCTGCAGCTGAGGTTTGAGAATTCAAATGTGCCCCCTGGGCTGGTCCTTCAGAGGGTGTGGGCAGAAAGCAGAAGTGGCTTCACTTTCCTGCCCTTCCCCATACTTCAGAATTGGGCCAGGCTTTGGTAAGCCCTGCTGTGGGTGGGTGGAGTGGGTTGTCTGAGCCACACGTCTTCTTGGTAACTGGTGGTGGGGATGGGGACATCTCCTTAACGAGCAAATATTACCACTGTTTTGCTTTCCCCGGGCCTGATGTCACCCCAACTGTCACAACTCTTCATGAGTCAGGCCGGGAGGGTCCTACAGCACCTATGCAGAGATGCAGAGGCTCTGGGGATGACCTTCCCTGCCAGCTGTTTCTTACTCTGCTTCTCTGGTGCCGAGCCCTTCTTATGCTACCAATGATTCTGATAGCCTCTGGGACCTGGCTGGTCCCAGAGCCAGGGAGGAAGACATGCTCCTCTTCATTTCCTCCTAATCTCTTATGTGAGGTAGTGGTAAGATCAGGCAAATCTCTGATATAGTGGTGTGCTGGTAAATGCTTAACCCCAGCCCTAAGAAAAAAAAATGAATATCTACATATGCATGATTATTATAAATTTTACTTAAAAAAGGATGGGTAATGAATACCTTATGGATAATAATGAGAAAACATGCAATACTCTAGGTTGTAAATTTCATATAGTTGATTGATTCTAACGGAATGCTTTCACTGATTTTTTGCCAACCATTGGTATCCCTAGCCCATCTATGGTCTCAATTTAACCATGATTTGACAAATGGAGTTGCATTTCAATCCACAGTGCTTTATCCAATACATTTATGGTCATGAAATCTGATGTGTAATCTACTGTTAAGTGATGTCTCCTTCTCATACAAACTATATTGATTATACTTCACCACTCTAAGATTCAGCACTATGTATGTTGGCACTTTACTCATTTGTCAGTGGTGTGACTTTGTTTACTTGAATAATAGTTTTTAAATACTGGAAAAACGTTGTCTCCATTGTTTGCACTATTCACAGTGTAAGGGCTGTAGACAGGACCATTTAGGTTTGATCTACATTATTGAACTTCCTTACCATTTTCTGAAGTCTAATGAACAATACAACAAACCAAGCCCTTGTTTGTAGTCTTTTCCAATTTCCATGGTGTAAATTCTCCCTCTACGGACAGCTGGAAGCTACCAACATGACACTCCTACATGCAGTGTTGGGAAGGAATCTGCAGTAGCCACCACGATAGAGGGTTTCCGCCACTCAGAACAACAGGTGTGCCTCGCTTATTTAGGTAATAGCAAAATGTAACAGAGTGGTGCATTTTGAGTATTAATTACCTTTGTTTTTAATATAATTTATTAAGTTATATGTTTATATAAATTATATGCTTATATAAACATTTAATAAAGTATATGTTTACATAATTTAATTTTAGAGTTTTAATGGCACTGAAGTATCTTTCTTCTTTCTGGATCAACCACATAGAATTTCAATTCTACGTCAAGATTATCTTTGAAATCACAATACTGTCAATGCTATATATTTGCTTTCTAGTTTTTAGATGACTTACAAACAAAGCAAGTAAGAGACTTTTAGTTAGCTAATACAAATATTTTAAACCATGATGATATAAAAATAATAATATAGAAAACAAAATATGGGGAGGAGCAAGGGAGGAAGAATAGCTACATCAGTACAGGTTGAGTATCCCTTATCCAAAACTGTTGGGGTTGTAACACAAAGGCTAAATGCTCGAGGGGATGGGTACCCAGTTCTCTATGATGTGATTATTTCACATTGCATGTCTGTATCAAAACATCTCAGGTACCCTATAAATATATATACCTATTATGTACCCAAAAAAATAAAAATAAAGAAAATTCAATGAAACAAAATGTTTGAGAGCAAAAGTGTTTGGGATTTTGGATTGTTTTAGATTTTGGGATACTTGCATTATCCCAAACTCTAACTGGGTTACTGGTTGAGCATCCCTAATCTGAGAATCTGAAATCTGACACATTCCAATGAGTTTTTCATTTGAGAATCATCTCAGGCCTTAAGAAGTTTTGAATTTTGAAGCATTTCAGATTTTCATTTTGGATTAGGGATACTCAGCCTCTATTCTTACCTTTCATAGCTGTGAATGCCATCTTAATTTGATACATAAAAGAATAAATATACTATTTAAGGTCATGAAGGAAATTATTGAAAGGCATGTAAAATATAGTGAACAGGGTTGGAAAGGCAACATTTAGAAGGATAAAATAAAAATATAATTCCAAATCAGGAGTAGCGAGAGGAAGAAGGAGATAGTGTAAGCACTCTAATTTTCTTATTTTTATGTCTGAAGGTCCAAAGGTATTGTCACAAATTTATAAATCCTAAAGAGCTTTATTAGTTGAAGTTATAATGAAGATCAATCTAAAAATCTAAAAACTACTCTTGGTGATTATTTGGGCAAATGGAAAATGGTCATGGGCAAAAGGGAAACTACTTTTGATGTTCTTATCAACTGACTTTTGTTTGCCAGGTGTGGGTATTATTTTGTAAGTGAAAAAAAAAAAAAACCTTAACTACTATTAAAAATGCAACTTCTGCTTACTCCAGCCTGGACCTTATTTACTTTGCAGTAATCTGTTTCACAGTATACTGTGATTGATTTCCACCACATGTAGAAACATCCCAGAAAGCCTGGAATCACACCACTTTATCCCTGTCTCCAGTTCCCACAGCCCTCTAACTTCCCCCACCAGCAGGGAAGGTGGGGTGGGAATTCTCCTGTTACACTGAGGAGCTGCTATATTTTGTGCCTGTCTACACCACAGTAATTCACAAGGTGATAAACATTGTGCTTTGCCATAAGGTACATTCTTATTCTTCAATCCTCATTACCTCACATTTATAAACATTAAAAAAAAAAAAAAAAAAAAAGGCTTCGGCAAGTTCAGTGCCTTACTCAGAGTCCTGCAGTTTAGTGGCTCATACTGGCACGTTTCTTCTCTCTTGCAGCAGAGAAATAAGACAGAGAATCCAATATTCCGCAGGTCATCTTCCCCAGGAAATGTGGTGCTCCCCCGACAAAAGAAGTCAATGCAGAAGGTTCCCGTCTTGTCTCACAGCCCCTTCAAAAGGGGGAACTGTAGGCTGAGAGGGTGTTTTGTTTCCCCGTGACTGAGGGCAGGGCAGGGGCAGGGGCAGGGAGGCCCTGGCCTTGGAGGCCCTGGAAATGCACTCTGCTGTCACTGAGGTGCTCTCGGGCAGGACCGCTCCAGGCCTACCAGCTTCACACAGTTATTCTATTGAATTCTCATGAAAACCAAACCTGTGAAACAGCTGTGATCTTCATTTTCGGATGAGAGAACAGAGCCTCAGTGCAATTAAGTGATGCCCCCAAGATCACTGGTCTGACTCCAAAGCTCCTCCTGCCCCGTCCCAACAAGGGGTGGAGGGACGAGGAACTGTCCCTTCCCCTGGGAACGGTGCCCTGGGGCAGGGTCCCCAGGGTCCTCTCCACTGCTGAGGGCACAGGCTCTGGCGGGGCGTGTCCGGGGCTGGGCGTCAGCGGAGGCCCCCGGGGAGCGGGGAGCGCTGGCGAAGCAGCCACTGGAGCGTGGAGCCGGAGCCACCTGCAGGGCTCGCGCTTCCCCTCTGACAAAAGCCGCTGTCGGGAGGGGCTGTAAAGCAGCAGAGAGGCCCCAGCGAGGGGTGTGCACCCAGAGGAAGGGAGGAAGGCATTTCCTGCCTCCTCCTGCCCCTTCTCGGAGAGGTGTCCAACCTTGCCCAAGCTCGCAGGTCCACAAGCGAAACCCCCGCCCCTCTCCCCGCACTGCCACCGGGGTTGCGGACCTCAGGCAGCACTCTGTCCCCACCAGCCCCAGCCTCCCAGGCCCAAGAGCCTGGCCCTGGTCCCCTCGCCCTCTCCCAGTGCCAGATGCAGCGGCTACTCACTCAGCGTGCCCGCTCCTGGGTGTGCCTGGGCAGTCTCTCAATGACCCGCTGCAAGGGGCCCTCTTAGGGGCAGGAGCGTCTGTCCGGGATCTCTGGCTGTGAGGACCTGCCTAGGCTGCCCCCCACTCCCCACCAGGTATCACGCAGGTGCCTCCCTGCTTGTGGCGGGAGCAGACAGGTTTGCTCACTGGGAGTCGGTGTCGTGGCCTTGGGCGATTGCTCTAACGAGGAGCCCCCACCTGATCACCATCACCGGCCAGATCCCACTAGGCCGCACTTGGGCGGTGCAGGTGTTCACCTGGCCAAACAGAGGTGCGCGAGCAGAGGGCATCTCTCTCCGCGGAGCTGGGGTGGACGCCAGCACTGGCCTCTGCGGCTGTTGATGAGAAACCTAGCTTAGCAAGAGGCCAGGGAGTGCTGGAGGCTGCCCTGGGGCGTTGGCCCCCTGGCCGCTGAGGTGAGATATTCAAATATCAGTGGGCGGGTTTTTCCCAGGTTAATTCTCTCTTAACAGACTGCACAGCATGGAGGGAAATAGAAGAATCTTCCCTTCTGGCAGCTGTGTTCTTTCCAGGCTCCCCACCCTCATCAGCCTTAAGCTTGGCATCTCTTTGGGACTGACCTGCCGCGTGGCCACTCCTCCAGAGCTACCTACACGCTATTACCTGCTGGATGCTTTGTGAAACCTCTTTATTTACTCATCTTTGGGGGTTTGTGCGATTTTGTTTGTTACTTGTAAACAATGGATTCATTTGGCTTTTATCAAGTCATGTAAATGGATCTAATTTTATTTTTTGGTGTATGTCTACCTGGTTATTCCAACATCCTTTATTAACAGCCCGCCTTTCCTCGCTGATTTGATGCCACCTTTCTGTATGACACAGTTTCATAGCTGAGGCTATTTCTGGATTTTCTATTGTTTCATTGTTCTCTGTTTATCCCCGTGACACACTATTTCCATGATAAAAGATTTAGGGCCAGGCGCGGTGGCTCACGCCTGTAATCCCAGCACTTTGGTAAGCTGAGGCGGGCTGATCAAGAGGTCAGGAGTTAGAGACCAGCCTCGCCAACATGGTGAAACCCCATCTCTACTAAAAATACAAAAATTAGCTCGGTGTAGTGGCAGGACCCTGTAATCCCAGCTACTCGGGAGACAGAGGCAGGACAATCGCTGGAAACCGGAAGGCGGAGGCTTCAGCGAGCTGAGATCGCCGCCACTGCACTCTAGCCTGGGCAACAAGAGGGAAACTCCCGTCTCAGTGCATATATATATATATATATATATAT